TATATATACACATACATGACAAACAAATACGTATAGAAACATTACAATTATTATTATTATTAAATATTATTGTAATTATTATTATTACCGTTGCGATTATTATTATTCAAACATGTGACCGTCATCTATTATTATGAATTATTATCAGTGAAAACGACGAAGGTACGACGGATAATTGCTAAAAAATTTTAATGAAAGATCTTACTTATACATAATTATAAATACGTCATGATGACATATTCATAACAATTAATTACTACGATAACATAATGACATTATTATTATTACTATTATAAATAACACCCTATTCCCATTTGTTGTGAATGTTTACGTTGTTTTATGATATTCAGAATATTCTAAAAATAAAGTCTATAATTTCCACGAATACCAGCTTTTGTTCATCTTTATCCCTTCAAGTGATCGATGCAAGAAATAATTATCTCTATACAAAAATGAAATTATAATTTAATAAGAAATGGTTTATGTAATCAACTATCATGTAACCTCATTAACACGTATAATTAAATTCTCTACACTCATGAATCATTCCAGCCATAATTATCTAATATCGTTTCATATTCAGTTATCTTAACAATGCTTAATCATTAAAATCAAATGTAACAAGATTAAATTTGAATATTTAATTTATTAATAGTCATTCAATTCATGCAGTTTAAGCACGTAAGGAAAAAATTATGCATTATAATAATATAAAAAATGTATAAGGTAATAATATATGAAATATTTTATAAAATCTCATCGATTTTGTTCCATTTTAAGGTTAAATACACATGGTTTTTTTTATAAACGATAATTAAAAGCAGAAGCATTGTTGACCCGTTTCGAAATTTCCGGAGATAATGTTAGTCAACTTCTCCGCACATTTGCGAGCAAACTTCAAGCGGTGAAACAGATTTAAGTGCGCGTGCACACGATAAGCGCGGCCACTTTCACGTTATTTTTTACGGGATCGTGTATGTACCGCTGTTCCTATTAAGCCAGGTCAAAATTAATTTCGTCGTAATTAGAGCAACATACCTATATAATTTTTGAATGATCAGGCTGTGTGCGAAGGAAAATGTGAGAAAGAATGCACAGTGATTGGATACGTCGATGCATTGAGGCCGTCTGACAGAACAGATAGCACTCAGCTCGAGTACTATTTTTATTTCAGTTGTTAACCTCGGTCGACACATTCAACGAAATGTCATTCGAAGGGAAATACAACGCGAAAAGCCCTGGTAAGTTCGCGAGAAAAACGAATTTCGTTCTTTTCATGCTGTCGTTACGTTTATAAACGAATGGCGTATATTTGAGTTTTCATAATTCAATGAAACATTGTTATCTTTAAGAATTAACTTCACGTTATCTCGTGATACGTGTCACTAAACTTTCTCTTTCAATATGTCCAGTTTAACGAATGTATTTGCATAGATTTACCTTATGTATTGGAATGATTTATTTGATTGAATCTAATTACCAATTGTACTTGTTGCAAATATGTTATTGTATAAAATAATACACTTAGTCACTGGTAACACCACATCATTTCAGCGGTCAAAAGATTAATGAGAGAAGCTCAAGAACTTCATGAAGCTACAGAGGAATATTGCGCTGCTCCTTTAGAAGACAATCTCTTTGAATGGCATTTTACTGTACAAGGGCCACCATCCACAGACTTTGAAGGTGGTGTTTACCACGGTAGAATTTTGTTACCTCCTGAGTATCCTATGAAACCTCCAAATATTATATTATTAACAGTAAGCAAATTTTCATCCCAGCTATATTTCCAATTTCAAATAAGAAATATATTAACTGTATCATTTTTTTTTTAGCCAAATGGCCGTTTTGAAACAAACAAAAAGATCTGTCTCAGTATTTCTGGTTATCATCCAGAAACATGGCAGCCTTCCTGGAGTATTAGAACAGCTCTGTTGGCTTTAATTGCTTTTATGCCAACACCAGGAAATAGAACAATTGGTTCTTTGGATTATAGTAAAGAAGAAAGGCAAAAACTTGCAAAAAAGTAATCGATAGAAATTTTTTGGATTCATTTTATCAATTGGGTCAGGTATTTATAAATGTTTCCTTGTTATAGATCTCTGAGTTGGCAGTGTGACACTTGTGGGAAAGTAGTCGATTTGTTATCTAAAAATTCAGTCAAGAAACCCATCACAGAGGAAGAACAAACTATGTTAGACACAATTGCTTTGAAGGTACATTTATAACTATTACACAAATGTCTGTAACTTATTTCAGTTAAAAAAGAAAAGCATCATAATTTTAGGCTGATGAGTCACCTACATCAGATACATCATTCACAGTCAATACAGATAATATTTTAGAAAATGAACTGAGGCAACGTAACGTTGAAACGACTTCGATCGAGAATCAAGATCGACAAGAATCAGATGTTATAGTGAATCAACAAGTAGAAACGATGTCATCTTCTAATGATTTGTTTTGGAGCATTCTAATTGCTTCCTTAGTGTCAGCGATTATTCTGCTTGTTTTGCGACGACTATTTCTCGTTTAAATTATTCTAAATGTAACAAAAGTTATAATATTGTAAGTATGTTAACAAAACGAAGTAAATTTTATACACATTTTATGAACAACATTTTTAAACTTAGAAAAAAAAACTGTCAGATTTATATACTCTAGAAATGGATCTGGATTTCATGGAAACACAATGTATAATTGCACCGATGTATCCACTTTAGAACATATCTACCTTTCTCTTACACAAAACCACTCGCTTTATAAAAATATTATATACTTCTGTTCAATATACTTCATTTGCATTGGCTGTATTTACTAGTCTTTTAAATTCTTTTTCATCTTTTTAATATACCATATCTCGCACTGTATAGTTTAAAGGAATTTAATTTGTATCCCTAAAGAAATTATTAATTATTAATTGCATTTAACACATATATTAGTTATTAATTTTCATATATAAATCATCTTAGTAGTATATAAATTAACAAGGATATTATTTTCATCACTGTTATACTATGTTTATGTCAAAGTTTCCAAGTATTATTTAACTGAATCTATACTACAATAAAATTAATATCTTAAAAATATATTTTAAATGCTTATGGTTTCAAACTACAGCTATGTACTTTTTCTCTTATTGTTACGCAAATGTAGATAAACTATATGTTAGAAATGTATATAACTTATAACTTTAGTATAAACTAAATGAATTATTCATTATGTTGTATTTCGAAATACTGTGCAGATAAAATGCAAACAAAATACACCAGCTTTAAAAGTATCAAACTGCAGCAAAAATATAATACCAGTATCTCTATTGACTGCTTTAATACCTGTTGATATTTTATGTGCATAAAACAATTGTCAATGTAATAACAAAACGTACTCGTTACCCAGAAATTACGTAGATGATTCTGGCATGGTTGAGACTTAATTTAAAATGTACTAACAGAACACGTTTATATTCAAATGAAAGTTGTTTGATAAAATGTAAATTTATTACAAAATTAAGCATTAATATATTGGAAAATTAAAAACAAAGTATTATTGTTACGGGACCATGTGGGATATGATTTCATTACACTTATACATACACAATAGTGAATCGAAAATGATTAAGAATACAAAGATATTTAGGCACAAAGTATAACATTTATCTTGTCATTTGTTTTTGCATATACATAGAAATACATTTAATAAACAGTTTTTGATTTGTTAAACAATAAATAAAGCCCATACAATTTATTGCAAATAACACCATGGTTGTACACAAAATCATACTTCAATAAATGAAAATATTGATATAAGGATAATTATGTTTAATGTGTAAGCAAACGATGCAGTTTCGATTCCGTTATATCGTAAATCTGCAATGAAGAGTAAACGACTGTGCATAAAATGTAAACAGTATTATTTTACATTATTAATGCTAGGCGCATAAAGATATTTTTTAAAGCCAACAATGATAAATTTTGTTTACAACTTCAAAACTGATACAATGTTAATTCTTATACATATAAAATATATATACATACAATACCATTAAATGTTTTGAGTCAATAAATGTAAATTAATCTTATTATTAATATAAAATAGCCGGACAATCAATTAAAATTTTATATATAAATGTAACATGTAAAATAATCATTTCAGTACAAAATAGTAGCCGTAAATAGATTTAATACTGAAAATATTTTTGGTCCCTATTATTTTAGAATACTTAAAACTGAAAAAAATGCTCTTGCAAACATTTACCAATTCAGTGACAAACAATTTAAACGTATTACAAACTTTTTTTTTAACGAAACTCAAATTTAAAGGTGAAATTCGATCAATTTTTCAGTATTATTTGTAATAATAGAATGATAAACTTTACCCAACGGTCGTATAAACAATGTACTTTATCATTTTATTTCTGATATAGAAACAGATTGCAAGCGTTTTATAATTCTCTTGTCACTTGAAGCTTTACAGGTGAACATATAAAATCTGTTCACCTTCACATTAAACAGTATACATAAATCTAATTTATTTGCATGTTGGACACGTGTCATACTAAATAATAATAATAAAAATATTAATGCCAAGACACATAAGCGTTGCACAACTAATACTCCTGTGCGTTTCTGTGGTGTAACTTAACATAAGCTTTTGTAAATTTTATTTTTCAATATATCAAAAATGTTTGATTTCAGTTTCGTAGTTACAGATAAATTATAACAAAAAAAAATATTTTTTATTAAGCGCATAAATATTTATGGCACTGCATTATTAACATACTGCGTTATTATTATTTATCATTTAATTATCATTAATGTTACATTTATCTGTACTATTGCTGCATACATTTTGATTTTTTCATTGCAAATTATTTTTAAACTAATGATCTTAAATGTAATTATGTAATTTAAATGCAACGTAGCCGCAAATATACATATAATAATGTAATCGAACTTTAAAGTAGCATTAACTAGTTACAAATTAATATATAATTTTTCTTTTTTATCTATTGTAAGGCAGCTACCTCGGTTTCAAATTTATTCACTTCAATAGTCGATAGTCTATCTAAAATTATTTACCTAATCACTTCGTAATACTTCAACTTTAGTAGAAACGTTTTGTACACTCAAATACATATATCAACATTAATATTATGCCAGCACCACCTTGTCTTTTTTTTTTATTATAATCTTGTGGAGATTCATAAAATTTGATCGTGACTAGATTTACGTAAGACTATGTGGTAGTCTTTCTTATATAAAATACAATTAATTTAGGAGACTAAGCCCTAAAAGAAGGATTTTCCGAAACAAGCCATTTTTACTTCCACTTGCAAAAAATATATTGCATTGATAGCACCTCATACATTTTAATCTTATAATCTCTGGTTTTGTTTATCCCCCTATCTATATTAAAAGTATTGAATAGTAGATTTTACAAACGTAAAAATCCGTATTGTTGCATGGATGATATGCAGTGTTTAACCATTTGAAGCACAATTGGCCATTTATATAAAAATTCTGTATAAAAAATTAAAAAGAAACATAAAAAACTTTGGTTTTACTTAGATATGCTTCAAAAGGTTAAAGTAATATGTTACATTTATACATTGTATAGAAAAAACATGAGATCAATTGTTGTCAGTAAATTATTTATAAACATCGAGGGACTGAAAGAAAGAATAAGCAATTTTTTAAATAGAATATATAAGTTATTAATAGGAAGAAAGTTATTGTCCTATGAAAGTTGAATGCAACGAGAATAAAAATATTTATCTGTTGTTAATTTATTGGAAAAAAAAGATATAATTACGGGAGCAGGAAATGCACTGAAAGAAAAATGCAGTACTGTTTGAAATTGAAAAACAAACGCATGTTCTTTCATTTACCTATGTAAAATTTATATACATATGTATTATATAAAAAATTCTTCGTTTCAAATGTTGGCATTTTTCTTTTTTTTTTTATATATAATAACCTGGTGAAAGATATTTTCAAGCAACACAGCTTTCTATTAAAATTCTGTGTTAACTATCTTATCTTATGCACGTATGTATATATACCTTGAAACAATACAAATATATCTTCATATTGTTTCAACAATACAAATATTGAAACAGTAGAATCTTTTTTTTTTGTTTCCTAAAAGTATTTCATGTACATTAATTCCGTTGTGTACTCCCTTTTAGTAATACAAAAATACAAATAATCCTGTTAAATTATAAATGCATTATTTATCAACTGCTATTAGTCCATTCACCTGTTTCTTTCAATGCTCTATCCGTCAACCTCTCTATCTCAGTTAAAAGCTGTTCAGTCTCTAAATCAACACATACCATATCCGCTTCGACCGGATCCCATTCTAAACTATTTGGTGTAGAGACTCTTGACCAAGGAGATGCTGTCAAACTAGAGGGTTGACTATTGTTAACCGATGTTTGTGTTATAGAACCGTCGGTACTTTCAACCTTTTCATTATCCATGACTGGCAGAGGCATCCCTAAGAATACAATATTTTTACATTCTATGGGTTATACACAAATCTACACGTTTGAAGTTGATTAATAAAAACTATTTTACCCTCGTGTTCCCACTCTAAATCTAACGAGGATCCTGGAGTGGAAGAAACACATGCTTGTTGTTTTATTAACGTTCTTGCATCAAGAATTTGAAGTGGAGTGTCCAGTCCAGAACTAGCAAGTTTGCAATCATATTTCAGTTAACAGTATGTACTAAACAACCATCAAAACATTATCCTAATTAAAGCGTCGAGTATACCTAGTAGAAGCATCGTTTCTAGAACTCAGTCTAGCATATTTATTAGTACCCTTTGACCATCCACCATCTTCTAACAACTCCAATGTTACAGGAACTCCATGTTTTTTCTGGAAGTATATTATGAAGTTAAATGAATATCTCTTGATAATGAAAATACAACAACTGACTTTAATTATTACATTGCAATTAATAATAATTTCATCTCAACAAGAAACTTACAATTTTCAAATAAAACCTAATAGTCTAATCCAATTACCTTGAATCGGTTTAAGGAGAGAAACGATAACAGGCTATCCAGGAAGCATAACAATGAAACACATAATTAATATAAAAAAAATAAAATGCTGGTTTAAAGCTCGATACAATATCTTACGTTTTTGATCCTCTAGATTGGTCTGCATCTCCTTTGTCATCCATGAACTACAAAAAAAATCAATACTTACAAATAAATAAAAAACTTACACATAAGTCTAGGTATTTATATTCATTATGAAATATATAATTTACATTGCAGAACCATATGTATATACCTCAACTTGTTCGTCTCCTTGGAAAGACATACTGGTGTGCCTCTGATAAAACCTTAAATTTAAATATGTTCATTGTATCAGAAACTAAGAGAAGTACATGGTAACATTATAGAAAGGTATAAACATTCATCTGAAGATAAATTTTTTGCACAATTTTTGTTATAGTGAAATAAAGAGACATGGTTCTAACCTGTATGACAAGGAATCTGTAACTTTGGAAATGCAGCGGCCGAAACAGGCCCCCATGACCTGTTAACACACGGCGTATCGCCGTCATCTAACTGATATATAAGGGTTCAGATTTCGATATTTAATGCCACGTAATAGATAAATAATAAAGGAACGGAACGTAACTCTTCATACAAAGCAATAGAAATATCAAATGTGACTCATCTTTTTCAAATACAGTCCATCCCGCTCCTGAATGTCTGTCAATTGCATACTTGAATACACTCCTACTTGCTGCAGTTATATTTGATACGCTTGCGTTAAAAAACAAGCTCGCCAACTTGATTTTTGAACGAAGCAGGGTCTCCAAAAGAAATTGAAATGAAAAAAGGTCTGAGATAAGATCAGTCCAAGTACTCTTCCTCTATGCATAACTGCAAATAAGATAACGAAATATATCCATGGCTTAAACAAATTAATTTGGCTGATTATTTCTAATTGCAGTAAGCATTCTTTTGCTGGCTTCGTTTGAAAGACATTATCACTAGCAGCGACTACAGATCCAGTTGACCACGAGTATGCAATAGAGAAAGGGTAGTGATCTTTAATCTTTACTCTGTACTTTTTTATAGTTCATGAGTAGTCATTAGTACAGTAAAAGCTGGATATATGCAACAAACATTGGGACCCAGATGTTGCATATATCCAGCCGAGGTGTCGATTCTGGGCGTTTAATGTTTCATATATCCAGCCGAGGTGTCGATTCTGGGCATTTAATGTTGCGTACATCCAGTCGAGGTGTCGATTCTGCGTTCGTACACATCGTTTGTATTCAGCCGTGATACCTATTCTACGTTCGTACACAACATGCGACGTGTTGCATGTTGCATGTTGCGTGTTTAATGCATCTTTGGTGTACGGCCTGCCTTATGTTTGGTATCGTTTTAATCAGAAAAATCTCACAAATGCGTTAGTAAAAGTTTCATTAAGAAAAAGTTAAAAATAAAAAAGTTTTATCGTTCAATTAGTATTAGTCATACCAATATTACGGTTGGATCATATTACACGGTTTCCTCGTTGAGTGGTTCGGTTCGCTTAAGGGGTCCCCCCAAGTGAAGGGGATAGCAATGTTGTATATATCCAGCCAAACTTTTGTTGCGAACCTCGCCTGTATGTATGAGTGCAATATCGTGTGAACTTAGCTGCAAGCTTGTAGTTGAATGAAATGTAATATGGCGACAATGCCATAAGAGTATGACTGCAGCAAAGAGTAGGCAAAGAGTAGGTATACCGCAGTTCACCAGAGTCTATAACTGCGACGCGCAGGTTGGAAGATGGTGGGGGAACGCAGCGAGCTCTCTGCTAATCGCTTTCCACTTCGTTTGAGAGTATCGCCAATCAGAGCGAAGATGCGTACTGGAGATGCGCTAAGAACGAAAACTAGTCTTTTCGCAGTTATGGACTCTGGTGAACTGCGGTATATAATAAGAGGCGACACTCTGAGAGAGAAACTACTTGTAGAAAGGGACAAAGTGATACAACCCATTTAAAGGTCCATTCGGCAATCTTCGTTTGCGGCCGTGAGCAGAGCGCTTCAGCGCTCTACGGGCACCTTGCTCACGTCCCAAAATCCCTATAATCTGGAACGGCACACGCAACAGTATTTAACAATCGTTGCAGAAAGCTACCATCTGGTAATGTGTAGTTCATGTAATTTGGTGGTATTTTTAAAGAGACAAATTCTCGGTGATGTGTATACGTGTATTATATGATATATTTGAATTCAAGAACAGTAGATTTTAATTGAAAAAAACGTATACTCCAACTATAAGGATTATTGATAATCAGATGTTTTTGACTGTAGCTTTATATTCTATTGAAGTAATCATGAGATATTTTTTGTAAAACCATGGAGAAAATAGTGTAATAAACGTGAACTAAATGAAATATTTCATCCTGTCAAGAGACCAATTTACATTTACCATGAATTCTATAAGCACCTTTGTTTTAATGCTTATTGTATTACTTAATATCAAAGATGGATTAATGATATCGCAACACCCAAAATTGTTGGTAATATCGTATGATGCATTCAGGTATGTTTCATGATGTTCTACCTCTGGAATTTTAAGATATTTGATACTTAATCTCTTGTGTTTTACAGATATGATTATTTTAATAGAAACTTGACACCATTTATGAATAAACTGAAACACGAAGGCACATACACAGATTACATGATGAATATTTTTGTCAGTAAAACATTTCCTAATCACCATACAATGGCGACAGGATTGTATGCAGAAACGCACGGAGTTGTAGATAATGAATATTATGATCCAATTTCAGGAAATATCACAAAGCATTCGTATAATCTATATCATTATAATAACAAAGTCCTTCCTATTTGGGTACGCAAAGAATCTTATATTCAATGTTTTTTCGCAAGCACGATCATTGTCTAATCAACTTTTCTGAATAATAGACTGCTAATCAAAAACATGGTGCTCAAAGAAGAAGCGGTATAATGATGTGGCCTGGCGGTATTTATGAATATCACGGAATTACTCCGACATTTGCGCAGGTTTGCATTTTTTATTATCAAATTTTAAACAGAAGTTTTGGATATAATGTAATAACATAATTTATGTTATTAGAATTTTAATGAAACCATATCCTGGGAAGAACGAATAGACACTTTAGTATCATGGTTTGTTCATCCTATACATCCAATCAATTTTGGAATATTATACATTGAAGAACCAGATTACCATGGTCACATTGTTGGAATAAATGGCCCTGAATTTGATAACATTCTTAGGAAATTAGACAATCTAACAAAGTATTTGCATGATAAGATAGAGTATCATGGTCTGCATGATCTTAATATTGTTCATTTAAGTGATCATGGAATGGCACCTGTCAAGATAGACAGAATAATAGACTTGACAAAATATATTAATAGTTCTGATTATAAATTTGTTGGTACTTCACCAGGTTTACATATTTTCCCTAATCCTGGTATGTTGATTCATAATATAAATCTATTTTTATTTAAATGAAATAAATATCTTATATAATTTTGTTTTGCGCAGGCAAGGAGGATATAATTTATCAGTCATTAAAACAAGCTGCCACGAAAACAATGACGTTCAGGGTTTATAAAAGAGAAGAAATTCCTAAAAAGTATCATTATGGAAACAATACACGCGTTGGTTCTATATTTGTTATTGCTGAAGTTGGATATGCATTTCAAAATCTTCTTGACACTATAGAATATTACAAGAAGAAATTTAATATAACAGGTATTTATCTGTAACATAAGATTTCAAACTATTAAATATAAATTTTTACATTATATAAATTTTCAGTAAACGGTGACTCAGAATTCGGCCTCCATGGTTATGATAATGAAGCAGTAGAAATGCACCCCTTCTTTTTTGCAAAAGGTCCCGCGTTTATGCCAAAATGCAAATTAGAACCTTTTAACAATTTAGATTTATTCCCCTTATTTTGTAAGATACTTGATTTAGAATGTCCTACGGTAAACGGTACTTTATCACATCTAACTAAGTGCCTTAAGAAACATCATCAAGATATTACAATTATTGCTTACCGAATGATATGTAAGTGAAAATTGTGTAGTGATTATTTTGGTTACTGGAATATCTGTAATTAATATTTATTTTCAATTAAGTTGTAGCTACGACTATTTCTATGACAATGGTGGGAATTATAGGAGCACTCGTAATGTTCTACATCAGGAAAAGACGATTAGGAGTGAAAAGTTACAGGTAAGTGATAGTATATTCTGTAAACTACTTTTATCCTTTTAGCATTTATAAAGAATTATTAATTTGGCAATATAACAAGTGTTTAAAATAAAAAATGTTTGTACCTTTGGTTTTAAATAATTGCACCTGAAAAATATTATAATAACGATTTTACCATTAATAGTTATTATAATAACTATTTTAATTTTTCAGGAGATATTATCCAGTGGATGGATAATACTTATAACACAACAAGCAATATATCAAATGTATACATTTTATTATGTTATATACAAGTAACGAATTAAGTAAAGAAAAATGATTTTAAAAGATGGTATAATAGTATTACGCAGAAAGTAAATTTTAAGAATATTAGATTACTCTTTATATACAGTTTTATTTTATTTTTTTAATTCAGAAAGTAACGAAGTGTTTTAGAAGAGATTTGTAGTGTTTTTAAATAATTAACGATCTTATAAATGAATCTCTAATTAGTTATAATTACGGTAATGGTTACGGATAATGTTTTAGTTTATGTAAAGACATACATAATTTGGAGGTAATTTTTAGTAGAGAATCGTTAATTGTAATCTAGTAAAATATGCACGGAAAATTGTAATTATTCAATACCTTTTTATAATGCTGGGGTCACATCTGCGTTAACGTCCAAAGGTCGTCAACTAATGTAAGAAAAAATTACACGCTGGGTTTTACATTTGTAAGTGGCTATATTTAGCAATACGAGTGAAGTCCCTTTGATATGAGAAAAAAAGACCACCATCCGAGCTACGTTCAACGCCTAATGTCATTAATAATGTTATAAGATTAGCGTGTTAATCCGTGGCTACACTTAAATTATGCGTTAACCGTTGATGGAGCCTCAGCATAACACAGTTCAGTGAAAGGTTCTTTAACAATAAACAAAATATGAATTTCTCATTTATATGTCAATAAATAAATATTTTAAACAAAAAAGATACTTCCTAATACATCTACTCTTTTCAATGTTAATACAAAAAATAATCAGATTCGACTTTTTGTTTTTAGAAGAATACTGGAAGATTTGGAAGCACAGTACCATTTGGATAAAAGTCGCAATATTGAAAATGTTACTTGCAAGTAAATTTCCAAAGATTTATTTTCAATTTTTTTTCTTGGTTTTCTTGTCACGGGGGACTGCTTTATAAAAAAAAACATACAAAATTTAGAATTTAAAAACGAATAAAAAAATGTTAATAATATATTTCTCTTTTCAGATTAAACCATTTTCCAGATTTATTTATAATTTCATCCCATACGAAGAGTAGACATTCATATGCAAATAAGGGAAGCATTAAATATAGGAAATCTCTTTTTCAGTATAGGTGACATATGCTTCATATGTTGCACCATTAAACATATAAATGAGAAAATACTTCTGTGATAAAACGAACAATTTGATATTTTCTGACCACTCAAAATAGTGTACATATACTCGAGAACAATCATTGTTAATTTGGTATACTAGATACATAGATATTCATGAGTTTAGATGAAATATTACACGAACTTTTTATTTTCTTGAATTCTTTAACAAGATATTCTCTGCAATAAACGTATAGAATAGGAAGCTTACAAAGTACGAATTAATTTTTGCATTTGTACTATTGCTATTTATTCTTTTCGCTTATGGGAGATTATAATAGCTAACTATAAGACTATTCACCATGTACGCTTATGGCATGGTGTCTCATTTATATTCTGGCTACTGGTGACCAGTTCCACGGTAAATAAATGGTTAAAGAACAACATAATTAACATGCACAGTATTACTATAGGAACTAGATTGTAACATAATTTATCTTAACTGACAGAGTATTGTATGAATAATTGAATTTCTTAGAACAAGTGAACTTGATCATACACCAATTGTGTAACAATTCACATAAACATATGTAAATATATCAGATATGTAAATACATACTATTATAGAAAACCTGTACCGTTTCTTTACTTTTTAACAAAATGTTAAATATTTGAGAATTTTCCAATTCAAATGACATAATTATATCTGCTGACTTAGAAAGTCTCAATGTATCATAATATAAAACATAGATGCATGCATCTAGAAGTTATTGATTAAAAAACAAGTCAGACCCAACAAGTTATGTCATCATTGAGTGATAGTATCTTGTCTGACATATATAAATGACTAACAGACGCAACGTCATTGAGACATCTACCGATAGTGTTCAGACATTGCATAGGAAACATTACCCTTTAATACCATAATTGCTTGGTTCAGCTGTTTGAACTGATATGTCATAGAGAAGGATTCTGTTAAGTTGACAGGGCCAAGGTGATACAGGTGTCAGTAATTATTGTAAGAAACATTATACAAAGTTTCTGATCGTGCTGTTTTTCTCTTCGCTATTTAATTATTCTAGCGACGTTTTTTACCAGCGTCATACATGCGACGTCTTTGATATCCCCCATGAGGTCATGATTTCTTTTTATGTGCTTTATAACAGGTGAAAATCATATATGGTCTAAAATTACAATGTTTAAAAAAATGATGAATGAAGTTTTACTGATAGCAAACGTTATTATTTAATTACAGTAAATTTGTAGCGTCAGCCATGGATGACCCCTGCGACAGTCAACATTGTTATCATATCATACAATCTGAAAATACATGATCATTTGTAGTTATTAATAAACATGATTTCCATTACGTATTTTGCTATTGAATAATCCGGAAATTCAACATCAATTAACCTGCTACACCATATGGCTACCCGCAATAACAACTCAATCGACCTTGAACTAAAATTACCGTTTGGCGGGATCAAATTATTTGGGAAATACCAAAAAGACGTGGTGATCAGCATCCGTAACACCATAGGTGTTGCTTATTTCCATGAATTCAATGCCGTAGGTAGCGGAGCAGAACTGGTTTAAGATTGCTACATTGCAGATGCAAGGCATTAAAATCCCCGAGTGCTCCGATGCATGCGAGTACAAATCAATGCGGCATTAATCATATTTTAACATAAATCATGTGTAATTGAATGAGAAAACGATGAAAAATATGTACGTTTAATTTATGAATTACCGGATGTCGGATTGCTAAGATAATAATTTCAATTTAATCTTATATTCCAATAACATTTTATGCCGACCTTATAAATATTATTTTCCTGCAATCCTTAAATTTTATTTGTAAAATTTTTTCATATTTCAAATTAAAATATTCTTCATTGCATTGCATTTCAACTTTGTTATTAATTATTCTCGTTCTTGCAATTTTCTGTAATTGGTGGTATGCAACATATCAGATATAATTGAGCATTTACACGTAAACAAATATTTTTCTTTCTTTTTTTACATTTACATATAATAAAGGTAGCTATAATAATTAAACAGGTAATTTTGCAGGAAATCGTTAGAGATCCTATAAAAATATTGATGGAAGGCAGGAACTGGCTGATTATCCAGGCAGAGGGTAACGAATCAATTTCTTTTATCAATTTTTCGATAACGTTTTTATGCGCTTTTGATGTAGAAGATTCGTCGCGCGTGCGTCAACCATCACTCTTGGAATTGTAAAATTTTTTTAAAAGTGAGCATCGCTGATGAGAGCCATTCAGTCTGTCGTGGATCGCGCCAGAAGAACGTTCGCGGCAATCGCTGTGAATTCAAACTACTGTGTCGAAAAGTTACCTAATTCTTACTTCTATCATACAATCAGGTAAATAGTAATTGAATTAAATTCATTTTAAAAGCAAGTTTTATGTGATGATTTACATAAAAATCGCATTCTTTCTCGTTCTATCGTTCTTGAAGAATTCTTTGAAAAAGTGAACAAAACATGTTAAAAAGCTGCAATTATAGATTATTTATATATTCCACGTTAATTAACCGCGAAGTTCAGTATTATTTGTGCAATTCGTTGAAATGAATGTGGATTCAAAGCATTGTGCACAGAAATTAATTATCCATTAAATTCATTGAATAATTAACTATATAATTAAATTTATTTAAAAAAAAATTTCATGTGATGATTAACATAAAAATCATTTTTCTTCAAGTTACCTAGTACCTTTGAAAAAGTAAATAGAAAATATTAAAAATCTGCAATAATTATACTATTGAAATTTATTTTTCAATAATTCATTATTGTAAACACTATTTATGCAATTTCTTATCGTACTGATTTCCAAATTTTCTTTTCACAGAAAACCAATAATAAGTCAAGATGTTGGTCCTCTGTTTGGCGTTAATTGCAGTACTGCATCCAGTAATGGTTCCCGTAGTGTCTGCTCAAGGTTTGTTCTTCTAATTGTCTTTTTTGCCGGTTGTATACGTTTCAGATTCCATTGAGGTCTCGTCAGCCTTCTGGCAGCCTTCGAATCGAAAAGTAAAAAACAGACACGTTCGATAATTATTCTATAAAAAGGATGAGTTCGTGGTGGAAAATCGAGCATATTCGAAACGCTAAAAACAGTTACACGCGGCGAAGCGAATGGGTTCGTAAAAAAGTTTCACGGCCTGTCAGTTGGTCTCTCCCGAATAGCCGATAGTAATTCACGTGGTAGGAAATGTTTTCTTCGAAATCGTGACTATTTCACACACACGAGAGGCATGATAAAACGCGATGCATGATTTAACATCGTTATGTAATGTCAACATAAGTTGTTGATAGGAGAAGCATCGAGATTCGTCTTCGATGATGCTGCATCCTATTGAACTTGAAATTCACTCTTCTAGGAAAAATTTCTCGTGATAACAAGTTTCCAGTTGTCAGCGAGTTACGCTGCTCTTAATTCGCAAACAACTGATCACTTTGGTTCGATAATTAACACGTTGAACGCCACAGTGAAATTGGCCATTTTTTGTGGGACGTATTAAAGCTCTAATTACTAATTGTAAGAATAGTAATAATTAATTTTCAATTTTTAAATTTCAAGCTTTCTATTTGCCATTTTGCATTATTTGTACCATAGCAATATTTCTATTATTTTCTTTTAATTATTCGGGCGCGTGTAAGTTGGGGGCCGGTCACCGATGACACCCATGGCGTTCAACGTGTTAAATATGACGGAAAAAATTTGGTGGAACCATCTTGCAAAATGTAAAAATATGGGTGGGTATCGAAGAAAAGGATAACAAGTTGATGAATACAGAAGTGTGAATTAGTTCGAGATAGAAAGGGTAATTAGTCATAGATGCTGGTCAATCGGGGATTCTTGTGAAGGACGTCAATAGAGAAATGACCGTAATGGAATCCCCTTCGGTTGGTCAATTTTTACCTAGGAAATTGAGCAATCTATGACGTATGATTTCTCGAACACGACCAAGGTCGAACCTTCGAACGATCGAGGTCAAGCAGACTCGGCAATTAATGTTATCATGCATCGCATGCGATGCTTTTAACCTTCCGTGGTCCATTTATTGTGTAATCCAGATCCAACTTGCCAATTGATCTAATTCATTTTGAACGAAAGGTCAAATGACATTAAAGTCCTATCTTGGAAATCTGCAAAATTTCACAGATATTCTAAGAAACTTAAGAAGCATAAAATGGCAATTACTATGTGTTCTGATTGAATTTTATTCAACTACGAATCCATTAAAAATTTTTTATTATTAGTCTGGTGGATACTTTTTTCTTCCTTCCATTACTTTTTTGCCCAGCAATTTGAAGCAAATCAAATTTATAATAAATAGTTTACATTTCATGAACACTTTGTTGAATATTTGCATATTCATTAATTAATGAAATCACGTTAAAATTCTGGAATTCGCTATAGGGAAACATTTTCAGAGAATTCTCTATCGCGATTTCTCGGTCAACATTTTCAACTGATCCGTTTATTTGTGGACAGTGATGAAACATCACTGAAATTCCACTGCGACGTCGACTTTTGAATACTACTTTTGAGTTGAAAAAAAACCTAATATATGATATCAGTTATCAAAATATTAATGATATCAAGGAAAAGCATGGTTGTTTTTATGCTGGGACCACATCTGCATCTAATGTGATGCATAATATGATAGTTAACATGTAATTTAACATTAAATATTGTTGATGACAATAGGCATTAAACAATAACTGGGGTGGCGGTCCTTTTTCACACGCTAAAGAAGCTTCAAGCGTATTTAATCGCGTTGTTATAATTAATACATAAATTATAATAACTATTTAAAAATGAAAAAACAAGTGCATAATTTTATCCTTTCATAATTGCATTTATAATCGTTGGATGTTAACGAAGATGTGGCATTATTGTAACGTTCAACGTGTTTAAATGATTACAAGAAAACAAGGTGCGCCAATATTCGCTATGTATATACACCTATCAATATCTTTCCAAGAAACCAATCGATGCCAAATGAGAAACGTAACTAAACAGTAATGCTTGAAAATCAACATTCGCGTTTTTGCTCGAGGCACAAGCGTATTTAATCGAAGAATGCTAACGGTAACGATTCTCTCTTTAAATGTGTAACTTCCTGCCCAACTCTCTTCCAAAATCAGTAGAATACTTAAACGTTGGACGGGTGATTTCCAATATTTGCTAGTCGTATTCGTGCTAATTCAATTACGGAGGGGTATTTCTAAAAGGTGATGCTTTGTTGACATTATTTCCCATTGTCAACGTGTTAATAGATGTAATAAGAAATTGAACAAGGGAACATCTGTTAGAATAGCAATCATGCAAATTGCAGTATGAATTTTTGAATAATTTATTCGTCAATAGTATTTTAAAAGGATAGAAGTGTATTTGTCTTACATTTGCCTAAATACCTCTTGCAATTTATAATAGCACTACGTATGCGAATTTTTAATTACACCTCGACTGCCACAGTGAAAATGAACGCGTGTAGTCAGACACCTTGAAGCTCAAACTATTAATAATCGTAACAATGGTAAACGCGATCGTTGATTACGACGGCCGCAGATAGCAACGAACGGATATAAATTAAGGGCTCCGACTCGGCCTATTTTGCCTGCTGTTAGCCGAGAGAGAGGACGAGGTAAAGGCGGAATTTCCTATGTGCGTCAATCACACGCATCTACGTCCGGCGGTCGAGCTTGTCCGACTTGTTCTACTGAATGCACGCGTCTTAAAAGAATATAGCCGCAAGTCAGCAGAAAAAATCGGACAAGATCGTCCGGCAAATGCAGACGCATTTGTGAGATTTTTCTGATTAAAATGATACCATACATAAGGCAGGCCGTACACCAAAGATGCATCGAACACGCAACATGCAACATGCAACATGTCGCATGATGTGTACGAACGTAGAATAGGTATCGCGGCTGAATACAAACGATGTGTACGGACGCAGAATCGACACCTCGACTGGATATATGCAACATTAAATGCCCAGAATCGACACCTCGGCTGGATATATGAAACATTAAACGCTCAGAATCGACACCTCGGCTGGATATATGAAACATTAAACGCTCAGAATCGACACCTCGGCTGGATATATGCAGCATCTGGGTCCCAATGTTTGTTGCATATATCCAGCTTTTACTGTACAGAGCATCTCTTGGACGTAAAATGTCTTGTACAAATAAATAAAAGAAACTGTTTCCTAAACCTTGTAATCCCACGTAATCCAATAAATCGTATCTATTTAACAGATTCCTTGTGTTTCCAATCAATCGTAGCTACATAATTGATTTTTAAATTCGAGCTTTTAATTTTCTACGTTTCAGGTCGAGCGTGCAATACCCCAAATGGTGAAGCTGGCTTCTGCGTCAACATTAAGGACTGTCAGTCACTGCTGGACCTGCTGCAAAGTCGAGGTTTATTAGCCGCTGGTTTCTTGAAACAGAGTCTTTGTTATTTCGAGGCAAATAATCCAATTGTTTGCTGTCCTGAGAGTGATACAAGAGGTAGTAAAGAAATAAGAGAGAGCCAGTACGGGCCATTACAACCCCCACACTGTGGCTTCAACAACGTCAGCCATACCAGAGTGGTTGGTGGTGTGCCAGCCAAACTTGGTACATAGATTATATCTCGCACAAAATTTGTTGGACCATTTTCACTCTATACAAATTGGATTTCGTATGCTAACAGTGGTTGTAACGTTTCAGGTGCATGGCCTTGGATAGCTGCTTTAGGGTACGAGAATAAATCCAATCCATCGCAACCAAAATGGCTCTGCGGAGGATCTTTGATATCATCCAGACACGTTTTGACTGCTGCTCATTGCGCTGTTCGCAACGATTTATATGCAGTTCGTATCGGAGACTTAAATTTGAAACGAGACGACGAAGGTGCGCATCCTGTTCAAGTGGGAATCGAACAGAAGATACTCCATCCTGCTTATGAAACTTCTTCGTATACGAATGATATTGCTGTGCTTAGGTTGGATCAAGAGATACAATTTTCAGGTAACAATCGTATGATTCAAATGAAATATTTATTATTAGCCAACTCGTACCTAAGATTGAAAATCTTGAGAAGGGGGCTACAGCATTTAGACTTTCTTTCACTTTTCTACAGGCTAAACGATAAGAATTATCGAAAAAATTCTTGCGCCATTGTGTTTAGTGGATCAAAATCTCACGAATGGCCGAAAAATTATTATTTTTTTTGCTACTTCCGGTCTGACCGGAAATGGCCAAAAAAGGGTTGCTCTAGAGCGAATCTCGCTCTAGTTCATTTTAGCTTGTTTACAAATAATTTCGTCTTATTCCATTGTGTTTCACTTTTTTTACAGAGTACCTGTATCCAATTTGCCTTCCAGTGGGGGAGATTTTTCGAAACAATGATTTCGTTCGAAATTTTCCTTTCGTTGCTGGGTGGGGATCACTAGCAACAAGTAAATATTCATTTCTACTACATTTTCAATAAAAATTTCTCCTTGAATCAATATTTTGTTCTTTTGTCATTTAACAGGAGGACCAGGTAGTGAGATTCTTATGGAGGTACAGGTGCCAGTAGTCACTAATCAAGCATGCAAACAGGATTATTCCTCGTTCTCGAATGCAGTAATCGATGACCGAGTATTATGCGCAGGATATGCTCGTGGTGGAAAGGATGCTTGCCAGGTAAATTCACAGTATTCATTTTTCAAATTATTTAGGGCCATTCTTTAGCTTACGTTTTAAAATTTTTAATAATTTTTGTAATTCTTCAGGGCGACAGCGGAGGACCCCTGATGTTACCACAAAAATCATACTTCTACCAAATAGGAGTCGTTTCATACGGTTTTAAATGCGCCTTACCCGGATATCCTGGTGTTTACACTAGAGTTACCCATTTCTTGGATTTCATTATCTCTGCGATGCAGTAATCAGTATTTCACGAAACCACACTTTTTTTGTTCAACACGAAAAGAAGCTTAAGGTTCCAACTGTTACCGTTCGAATAAGAGGCAACTTCAATTACTCAAATTTTGTACATTAAGATACATAGAGCTTTAATATATGTATACAAAATTTTATACAAAATTTTGGAGTGCTTTAAGATTCCTAAATTATTGAACACAGATTGGGGTATATTCTTTTATTTATTCAGAAGTTTTCCTTTCTCCCCTTCCACGGGTTCTTTGTAATGCCATTTTCCTGTAGGGAAGCTTACTATGCTCGATACTGTACCATTTAATCATGACAAGTACTATATTAATACAAACAAGTTTGTTTGTACGTTAAATTGCATCTTCTAGCATACACATTGTGCGTGTGTGAAAGACTAATATTATAGTGAATCACCTTGAACGAGGCATGCACATGCATTATCATCGTTGATAATAGGATATCGTAAATTTTTTCCTTCGCGGGCTACGGGAAGCTTAGTACGCACCAGTGTTGTTAGATGTCAGGATGTCGTTGATAACGCTACACGTGTTACGTTGCCAAGGTTTGAAAAAGTTGACTATTCCGCTCAGATCAGTAGCGACCGGTACTTTCGTTCAATCGCAACCGTGTTCTTTGCTCCAGAAGCAATTGAAAAGAATGTCGTACACAACGGTGGAAAAGGGTGCATTAAACAGCACTGATTACAGGCTTTATTTCAGTAAGTATTCCGGGACATAACCTTAAATAAAACGATGATCTGCGAGCGATTGTTTCTCAAAGGTCGGAGGTCAACGCGTAGGTCAACGATTTTTTATTCAAAATTCAAAGTATTTAATTCAATGTTCTTATTACGTGATTGTTATATGTTATATTTTCTCCATGTAATACGAATTAAGACGTGACCTTTCGTTTACTTCTTTTCTTTCGCATAATTTATTCTGTATCTTATGATAGCACTATTTTTTTCAGTATTGCAATTTTTTGGAATTTGTTATTCGAACCCTTTGTTCGCTTTTGTTTCTTTATTTTTATGTAATAGAGGTATTCCATAATGTCAGCATGACATTTAATTTCAGTGAAAGGATTCACTATGTAAGAACTTGGTGTATTGTACTTTTCACGAGAGAATAGTATCATTTCGCGCAGCTCGGCTGGCTCAGAAAGTTCCCCCACCAGTAGCGCTACCCCACCATAATTTACTTCCCATTACATTTGCCATATACACGGTGGACAAAATATACTAATATAGGAACGGCTTATTATAGAACAGAGGTAGTGAATAAGTGAATCATAATTCACAAGTTTATGATCACCGGATATACTTTCTGCCCAGCGTGGCTTACGACATACAGTCGTACGGCGCATGCGTGTTACCTTGGTAGCGGAGTGTGGCAGAACCAATCAGAGCTAATATGCGCAAACAAAACCAAAATTCGTTCATCCGATGGTACTACTCTCTCGTGAAAAATACAATACATATGTTTCTGGATCTATCAGTCTTTTCTTAGGTTTATTAAGAATTCAATGATGAAAACTTTCCACTCCACCAATTTTAGAAATCTAATGAATATTTATCTAATTATTAAATCAGTACTTCAGAATTTAAATACATATATATGTATTGATAGATCAGTCTTAGAGTAGAGACTGATATATATATACTTATAGGAAATGAAACTGGCCCAATTTCACCCATGCATGACATTCCACTTTATGCTGATGAAGCTAATAAAATAATGAACATGGTTGTTGAGATACCAAGGTGGACAAATGCAAAGATGGAGATCAATCTCAAAGAGACCTTAAATCCTATTAAACAGGATGTTAAAAAGGGTAAATTGAGATATGTGGCAAATTGTTTCCCTCACCGTGGATACATATGGAATTATGGTGCATTGCCACAGGTATAAAATATTTTCACTATTAATAGATTACTTATCCCTTTCAATGAATTGAAGTACAAAGGAATTTATATTTGCAGTTTGATAATAATCATAATGTGGTCTTTATTCTGTAATGTCATGTGGTAGTTTAAGGAATGATGTCATCAATTTCATTGGTATTAAGTTGTTAAAGAAAATGTGTAGTGGGCATCTCACAGTCACAATTAAGCTTCTGTGTATGTACATACTTTCTTGAAATGTATGACCAATGCCTTATCACATCTTATGTAAAGCTTTAGTCTTAGTTCAAGGGTATCACACATTATCTAGTTAATTTCATTTAAAGCTAAATGTACGGTTTTCTTCCTTGTATTCGCGTACATGTGCACTTGTTTTATATGTGTTTTTTTGCATTAATGGAAATTCTGTTTACAGACATGGGAAAACCCTGAGGTATTGGATGAATCTACTGGATGCAAGGGGGACAATGATCCAATTGATGTCCTTGAAATAGGATATAGGGTACAAAATTTGTTTTTTAAACACATCAGTGACGAATGTTAATATAAATTTAATAAGACATGGTTTTGTTAGGTTGCAAAAAGAGGCGAAGTTTTGAAGGTAAAAGTTTTGGGCACTGTGGCACTTATAGATGAAGGTATATAAAATTTTCAAGAAATAGTTAAAAATGACCTATTTTTTCTGATTTTTTATTTTGTGGTAATTTTTTTTTGTTTCAGGTGAAACTGACTGGAAAATAATTGTTATTGATGTTAATGATCCTTTGGCAGATCAAATGAATGGTAAGGTTGACATTTATGTCAAGTATGGAAAATTATTAATCAGGCTGAAAGAAAATATTATATCTTGTTTTTTGTAAAATAATGAATCACAAAGTATTGTTTTATTATTAAATACTTATCTTATCGAATGATCATTTCCGTTTTATTCGCTTAATATCCGTCGCTACAATCTATTTGATAAATAATCTGACTATAATACACGTTAATGTTTGATATTACAGATGTATCAGATATTGAAAAACATTATCCGGGTTTAATGAAAGCTACCATTGAATGGTTCAAAATTTACAAAATACCAGATGGTAAACCAGAAAATCAGTTTGCATTCAATGGAGAAGCAAAGTCAAGAGACTTTGCGTTACATATAATAGATGAAGTCCATCAACATTGGCAAAATCTTATTAAGCGTGAAGCGCCGGCGGGAGGAATCGCATGGTTTGTAACGATATACATATAATGCAAAAAATGTATTTGTACAGTGATCTAATAAATTTATTTTCACAGTACTAATGCAACTGTAGCGGGCAGCCCGTTCAAAATTACTCCAGAGGATGCTGAAGAAATGCTAGAAAAGGCTCCAGAAGCATTAGAACCTCAACCAGTAGATCCAATTGGTAAGTAAAGAGTTAAGAAATTACATAAATATATAAGATTTTATGCATATAAATTCATAATTCAATTTCAGTTGATAAAATTTATTTTATTCCACCACTGCAACATAAATTATAAACGTTCCATGTGATTATTGTTTGGTTTCAGTCGATAAATGGCATTACGTACACCTTAAGTGAGAGTAAAAGGGGTATTCTTACAGTACATCTTTCGATGGCTACATATGTTTGCTTGTTTTAATGGCACATGGAGTACTGTGTATTACTCCCACAAATTGCTTCGTTATAAGTTTTGATACATTCGATAGTTATAGAGAGTATTTAAATATTACAGAACATGTGCTTGCAGTACCGAAACAAGCAACACCTTATGCACGATGAAACGTAACAACACAATGTGCACTATTTATTTTATATAGTTCTATGAAGAGAAAAAACATTAACTTTAAAATATGTTCCTTTTTCTTTAATATGATTTATTAATATATCCTTGTTACTGTACTGTACATGCATCACAGTAATGGAATAGAAACTAAACATACTCCTTTCCAAGGTTGTGATACAATTTTCCATAAATAAGCAGGTAAAGCTTATTGTAGATGAAAGTAAACTTATTTTTCTTTCCAGTATTTGTTATTTTACAAATATGTAATACAATAAATTAGTTTGCGTTCTCAACTCTGTTACTTCTGTTAAAAATCTTCAATTACCATCGGTCCCGATTATCATTCCCAAAATTATTACAATTAAAATAAAAACTCAGCAATTCATGAACGGAATCAATAATTTAGCAGAGTTTGGGTTAACAGTGTTATCTAATAGTACCACGAGGGCCGACTTAATTGTAAATAGGGGATCGTTTATAGTTCGTAATCCCGTCGAAGGTGCGTGTTCGTCTAGTACACCCCCAGGAAGTGGTCTCGGAGGAGACATTCGTATCTACTTCGTAGCATGTTTAAACATACAAGCCAGGAGATATATATTGTGCTGGAGGACACATGTAACTGGACCGGGGAGACGAATCGACCCGTTGCTATAATAAATTTCCAAGCAAGGTCCGACATAGAATAGAAAACGAACTGCATCGGATATGAAAAAAAGTGCATAAATTTTAATAAATTTTTTTAATTGCAAAAATGAATAGGAGTGTATTCTTGTACCATACAAGAATCTCTTATAAAATTAACTTAAGGCATTTGAATGTGCATTTTAATCTCAGAATCCTGTTTTATGAATTTGTAACTACAAAACAGGGACAAAGCTCGAGAGGCAATATTTAACAAATATGAAGTAGCTACCGTTTTCTTCGCGTTGGCTTGGTAACGTTTTCCGCTTTGTCTTTCCCGCGATGCGATCTATTTTGTAGAGGAAATGTCTGTGACGTTGTCTTCCTGGTTTCCACTCCCAAGGGAAGTGTCCGTGTACTTCCCACCGGAGGAAAATAACTGGAGACTGAAATACAGTACAGGTTGCCGCGGTAAGAAAATAGTAAGACAAATTGCTACGACAACTTACTTTCCGAGATACAGGCCTGCTTTTATGTCTTTAAGTACCTGAAAAGAAAAGATGAAACTTAAAAGAGACGGTAGAAAGTAGTTGCCACTTGTCCTACTGAGATCTTAAATGAGAATTAAAATTTTAATAATAGCAACATGAACAAATTGTTAGAGAAAAAAAAACAAATGGCTACTTCCGCTTCGCCACCTTCCCGCCATTTTATTTTTTTGTATCAATTCGAAGAGCAAATGATTGACAACGTGCAAAATCAATGTACTTTTAAATAATCGTTAACATCTAAATTGCCTGCGAAAGTATTTGTATCGGCCAATTTAACGCCATTAACGAAGAAAATAGAGGATAAATTCAATTCATTTTCCGTCCGATCATTTATCACGAGAGCTCTAATCTCGGGCCAAGCTGTTACAGCGAAAAAGGTGTTTTCCCAGCTTTACGTCATTTTGCCGGAATTCTTCGGATTCTTTTTCCATTCCGTCTACCTGTTTGCGTTTCAGAACAGAAAGCGTTAGAAATTCTCCGGATTCCTAATTAATCATGGTTCGACTTGCTTTGGAGTACGGGCTGGTACGTCATCGGATGTAATGAAACGTGTCGCGTAAAGGCGAAGCAGCATCGATGGAATTCGTGACTTGTTTAGGAGCGATCCGTCAAAGAAACTCCTAATCCGATACAGGTTCGAGAAGATAGTTCATAAGAAGCAAATAAAGAATGGAAGGAAGAGAGAAAAACAGTAGAAAGAAAAAAGAATGTTGTTAGGTTGGTCCGCTTTCTGGACGAGTATCCGGTGCGAGACTGGATTCTTTCTTGGTGCTCTCCTGCCGAATTCCCCGCGCCCTTTTTTCTCGTCCACTCGCTGGCAACACCGGGTAGGTGAACCAGCAGGTGGAGGTATTGACTGGCGCAGTGTACCACGCGCTCGCGCGAATGTCGCTACCAGAGGAATCGTGAAGGTAGACGTAGTCTGCGATAAATGAAACAGAGAGAGAAGGGTAGTTTCGCTTATATAGGTAACCGCCCGTGGTCCCCCAACGTCCCTCCTCGTCATTCGCCGGAATCCGACCAATGAGCGACCACGCGCCTGTAGTAGTGCGGCGTCACCTCTACTTGGCTCGCGCAGTCACAACTCGTTCGACCGTCGAGCTGAACGCTTACGTTTTGGGGACCGCTGCGTACGAACGTGTTGAGTTTACGTGCGCGCCTTTTAAACCGCTACCACCGTTCACTACCATCCTTTGTTTCCTGGAATCGGGTCACGGTACACGTGTTTGCGAGCAGAATCCGTGCGTCGTTTACGTTTAACGGTGGACGGTGCTCTCCCGCGGGAATAAGAGCCATGCGATTTTCGTGGGTGTTCGTGGCCACGGTGCTGCTCGTTCTAGTCTCCGGAGCAAGGTGTAAGAGGAAATTTGACGGGGATTTCGAATTCGCCGAAGAGGTGAGTCTTTTTTCCATTTTTTCATTTACTGCTATACCGTGTTTATTGTTGCTTATCGTATATACTGCCGGGTGGCTCATACGTCAAGTTGCGTTTACTAGTCAGCAAAACATTGACAGGTGCATTAGTGCTTCGAAATGACAAGTACCGTGGTCGCTTTTGTTTCTCCATAATAATACTATAGTTTCCTTGAATCGCGTTACATATTGCTTATTCAAACTACTTTGTGTTCACGGAATTTTTGACGCGGTAAAACGAATCTCATTGGAACGCGTCGATAAATTGTCAAATGCGTATCGATAGAGCAAGAATCGCTCGATTCACGGTGGTTGTTTTTTCCGTGAAGTTAGCCACAAACTACAGCGGCTGTTCGAAAACTTTGATCGGCATTATTACTTTAGTATTTTCAAGGATACACTTCGTGTATAGAGCAAGCTTCGAAGGTTGCATATGTCGTAAAAGAGTCTCGATTTAAATTATACTTTATTTTTATGTTTATCTCATGGTCCAAACCTATAAACCTGGAATTGTCAATAATCCGCATCAAGGTTTTCTTTTTCATTCCATATTAATAACGAAATGTAATTGGTACTGACCTTCTTCAACAATGGTCATAAAATACACGATCATAGCGTCGGGTTCATTAGGTGGCACGCAATGCAGCCACTTTTACTTTCACGTAACTGGATCGCTGTTCTAACGCAACTTATCCGCGCAATTGTTTATTTTCTTAGCAACGATGGCGTGCTCGCTTTCTACGTGTCCGATCTCGCCTAGGTAAACATTGCGATCAGAAACAATTACGTGCCCGTTACATGCGTACGTGACATTAAAGCCGCGTGTTGCTTGTAGTTATACACAGTATTATGTTACCATGGCGCGCGCGCACCATATGTACTTCGATATAAACATAGTTGAACTTCAATTATAAACATTCTTATCCTTATTCCGAGTCAAATATTTCAATATGAATGACTAAGGAATTTAAAGAAGATAATTAAATAAACTATTAAATAAATTTAATTTTCAAGAGGAGATACCACCTTAACCCTAATAATTTGACCGCACACAATCCTTTATACTGCGCGTTAAGGGTTAAGGTCTGAAAATAGGAATTCGGTTCCCGGTTCGGTTATTTCCGCCGAATAAGGTCAAACAGGACGTATATTTATGCAAACTTTATTTTTCGCTTTCACCTTTCGAGTTCACCCTTGAAGTTTCGCCCACGTAGTACGGGAAACGTTCTATACAGAGAGTGGTATCTTTATCGAGGAAACCCACCTTAGGGATGAATACAGAACTGAAAAAAAAAAAAGGAACACGCAAACGACCCGTTTCACCTCATCTACGTTCGTAGCCGCTCACGGCGTCGAGTGATCCAAGCGAGCACGTTTCATTTCGAGGCTCGCGGATGTTTAATTAATTATCCTCAATCGCAAAGACAACACAAAGAGCTCGGTATAGGTTGATAATTATATGTGTATATATTGAACGTTGACGCTGACAAATTTGACCCGGTTTTCTGGCGCTGAAACACTGCGTGGGCGGCCTATCGATTCGAAACACTTTACCTCGTTGATTTTTCTCTTAACGATCGAACCAGACTAACTGGTTCCGTTAAATACGCGCTTTAAGATAATACCGCGAATAAATGATATATCGTAGATAATGAAAGGTGTCGTACGAGACATTTGTTGTTATTAAGTAAATGAAAGATTTGGATCGAATAACTTATTTTAAATCTTAAATGAATACCTTAAGAATTTCCTCGAAAATTTATAAATGTTACTTCCGAATATTTCAGGGAATTAAAATTGAACGTGTTTTCGAGGCTTCTTCGGGTAATCAAAGAGGGTCGTTGCGGCAACTTAATATCCAACAACATTTTAAGTCGTTCTTTCAACGCTTTTGCCCCAATTTTACTATTGCTATAACGTTATAACCCCTTCGGTGTGCCGTTGCTGCATGCACCAGACACTTGACCCTCTTATCTTTTCCCTTTTGCGATTCCACATTGCCATTTCTTTTTTCTGCCCGCCACTTTGAACGGCTCGAATGGAAATACACGTCGCATCCTTCTTGGAGGGGAAGCTGTTCAACCACTCGGTAATAATTCGCGGGGTTTAACATTAATTGCGTGTTTCGTTTTTCATTCCCCTTCGTTAGTTCGCGGTTTTCTGTCTACCGGATGAATCGGATTCAATTTTTGTTCGAGGAGATCCGATGCATCGATCAAATTGGATCAGCGTTACACGCGACGTTATTAATAATCTAATTGGTCATTAGCGAATGAAAGGTGAATGAATTTAATGAGCACTTGAAAGTGAAATGAAAATAGGTAACCTTTGTTCGGGAATGATCGAGTATTTTATATAGGGTTTTTCGATATTATTTTAAAAGTTTGAATTGGAAGAATTATTTCACGAAATTCGGGACTATTATTATAAATTTTCTAAATTATTCACAACTTTCGTTTTATAATACTTGATCAGGAAATACTGAGATAATAAGTTTAAGAATAAAAAATCTGCAAGGATTGATCTTCATGGATTATTTTCTTTGATTAATTACTTGGATTCTGTTTAAAGATAATAATGCTTTGTAGATTGTATCAGAAACAAAGTGGTTTTCGCATAGAGGAAATGTGTCCATCAACATTCAGCTAATTATGCTGGCGCAGACTGTGTTTCTGTTTGTTCATGTAATATTACCAGTTAAAATTATATGCAGAGTATCTGGTTGCGTTCATCCGGAAACAGCTTGTAAATTAAAGGTCATTGTTTTCAGAAAATCATTGATTAATTCTGTGAAATAATTCCAATTTCCTCTAGAAAGTATTTGCCTGCTTTCAATGAATTTTTTCGAAGAGTGAAAGCATGGTTTGTGGTTTCCATCGACGGTTCATACCCAGTGTATCAGTATCTTTCCTTAAAAAGAAAATTGATTAATAGTAGAACATTCAGGGATCAGAATAGCAACTCTGTTCTTAACGATGGAAGAAGCTCTTACGCTTATCACTTATTCACGATAACCAATCGATCGGTTCTGTTTCGATATCCACTGTCTCTTGAAGTGACACATTTTCTTGCTTGTTTTATTCCTGGTTTTTGTCCCAAATATTCGAGATTCATAGATGATATGAACAATTAATATAGGTAGATATTCCTAGTCAACTTTTTAAAAATAAAATACGGGTTGAAACGAAGTGCAGTTTGATTCAATTATTTCTCGCCAAAAATTTGAATAGAATTTCGCTTTAAAATAAATTGCAAAATTTAAAGAATTCAGCCATTTATTTTCACGATCGGAATAAAATATTATCTAGATTTACTAAAAAAAAAAAATGGGGATTAAAGGGAGCAAGAAAGAGTTTCGACTATCAAAAATCATACAAGCACACTTGTGTCCCATCATCCTGACTGAAACAAAAAGCTTCAAACCTCATCTACATATCCGATGCGAAGAAGAAGAAAAAAGTACTTGCAAAATCATCTTATCCCGTCGAATGTTTCGAAGCGAAAGGTGTTGCTAAATCGTCGATTTAAATGCGTAATCATCGGGCAAGATCCGCGTACAGACGTTTCATTATACCAAAGACGGGTAACAGAAGTCAACCTTTTACGAGCTTGCCACGAAATGACTCTCATTATAGCCACGTTATTGCGAATCGTGCTACTTCCGTTTTGTAATTTCACTAATCGAGCCGCAGCCTTCTCTCTCGGTTGGATGCGGTTTTATAGCTGCACACACACACACATACATACACACACACTCCGTTCAGTGCTTTCTATCGAAGAGAAAATCGATTATTCCAGGCTTAATGGAAAAAAAATTTCTGATCGATCGTCGGAGAATACTGTGACCTAGTGGCACGAAGGTAAACGAGTGTAACGATTGCACCCGGCTCTTTTCACGACCTATTGTTCCTCATAAATTACTACTTACCCCTTGGCGATAGTAATTTCTCTGGTTACGTTTGTTCGTTCTTTATGACACGAACACGGAGTCACGAGAGAAGGTAGTGGTAATAATTTGATACAAGTAGCATCGACTGAGGGATGTTTTATCACAGGTTGCTAATGAGTTTCATTATTTATTTATACTTTTATGGAAAAATATTTTTGTAAAAATTCAATAAAATTCTATGCCATTAAGATTAGTTGTCTACTCGTAATTCGCTTCAATAAATTAAGGAGGAAAAATCGGTTGGGTTTAAGAAAATGGGGTACCCCTCGATCGAGCTGATTTTTTTTACCATAGATAGCCCTTGACCTGACAATTCCAATGGTGATCATACTATCCCTTACCCCCCCCCCCCCCCCCCCCCCCCCCAGGTCAAAGACTGAAATGGTCCAAAAAGTGGTTATTTGCACCGATCTCAGTAAGTATCCCCCTCCCCCCAAACCTAACCCAACCTAACCTAACTTTACCTGAATTATTGAGTTTGAATTACTTTTTGGACAACTTCAGTATTTGACCTCGAGGGGGGGGGACAGGATGACCATCATTGGAATCGCCAGGTCAAGGGTTATCTATGATAAAAAAAATCAGCTCGATCGTGGGGTACCCCATTTTCTTAAATTCAATCGAAAAATCTTCTTTAGTACCTATTCCTGAAATTTTTTCGAAATTTATAAAAACGAGAATCCGGAGAAAAAATCTCTTGATAAACTTCATCAACGAGCATTTTCCAAATTCAAGCTCCTTTCGGATGTTTAGCATTTTCTATCTTGACCAAAGGAACGAGTGACTTTTTTCCTACGAATGTGAAAGCAGGAAACGGGAGCATGGCCCGTTGGATTTCAGGGCTAAAACGGTCATTAAGGTCCCTTTAAAAGCTCAATACCCTTCTCATAAATTTCGTAGCATCGCGTAATCCAACTGGTATATTTATGGCGCGAGCAGAGGCTCTCTTTGAACGCGTGAATACACTTTTTATAGGTCGGCTACGTACGTACGAGGTGTTCATAAGCTCGAATTTATCGCGAGGGAACCTGCAA